AGAAAAGGTTGGTGGACTAGACGTTCCTTAAAACTCACCAATGGAGGTCCTTACTGCATCTCCGGTATCACCTGCTTCAAGGACAAGAACGGTGGTGTTTCCATCCTCTGAAAGCCTTGATGCCAGGACGAGCCCGGCGAGACCACCGCCTGAGATCACAAAGTCATAAGCAGGAGCCAACTGGTCTGGGGTGATGATGTTGGCTGAGGCATGAAAAACGAAGCCTGCAAGGGCAAGACAAGCAACAGCTAGCATTAGTATAAGGGGGTAATATTGAACAAGTTTTGTTGATTAAAAGCGCACCATGGGCTTATATACTGGCTGGGTTATTAAATGGCTTTCCTTAATCGACGGCTCCGATTTTCATATTGCCGGCAGTCGGCAAGCACAACTAACCCTCGGAGTTTCATGTGGATTGGCTTGGACAATTCTTGGCCAAAATAGTCATGAAATAAGACATGTTTCTAGTATAAAATGATAAGTAAATCGATGGATAATGGGACAATGAGTTTCGTTGCCCCCGTCGTCAAATCGGACACGGGGATATCGCATTCCGAACTTGGCCAGTCACTACTACCCATTCTTTCATTTAACAGTTTCGTCAATACTGTCTCCGATCATCTACCGCCCACATGGCAACCTGGGATACCATCTCCCGGAAGGAAGTTACGTGAATAACCTCAAGCTGGCTCAAATAAATATGCCATATTCTGATGATATCTCTCTTGAGCATTTATTGAGGGTCGACTGTCAGTTATATATCTATAGGCGCCACCAAAAGAAAAGAAACAGACGTCCACAACAGAAGCGCCGTCATAGCCCCTCATATTTATATTCATAATGTGACAAGTAACATGTTACGCGTTCATGCATGATCTTAATAATATCCACATTGTCACTGTGTGCGCAGCTCTCCAGCGCTCATCAGTAAACATAAGAACAAACCCTGCGCTTCCTTTTGACTGCAACATCTTTCCCAAACAACGATGTACCGAGGGATCAACTCTCTCCTTTATCTGAGCTGCTTGCTCTTACCAGCATTCTCCGCACCATCCGTGGATAGTGCATTGGAATTGGGATGGGACAGGCTGCAGTCTCATGCTCAAACTGTCCTATCAGGCGCAGGCGCAGACGCGTGGGCCGCCGAAGATGGTCGCGAGTTCGTGAAGCAAGAGGGTGTTACATGTGAGCGGAACATCCCACATTTTGCGCAATGCGCGGGTTGTGTTAAACGAGTCACAATTATTGATTAGACTTGCGAACAACCCACCCGTCGTTCGCCGACAGCTATCAACTGCGGACGCAGCCTAACGCATCCAGTCTGTGCGATAGTACAGTTAAGCAGCAGTCCGGGTATCTGGACATTAACCATAAGGATCATCATCTCTTCTACTGGTATGTCATATATATAGGCTGAGCTTTGTTAAACCACGCATTTTACATGTCCCCCGACTTTTGTGTAGGTTCTTCGAGAGCAGGAATTCGCCTGAGACGGCGCCTCTCATTCTTTGGTTGAATGGTTAGATTGTGGATTTCCGTACTAAATACAAGTGGTCAATTTACTGACATAAAAGCATATAGGCGGCCCTGGATGCAGCTCCAGCACCGGTCTCCTATTTGAGCTTGGTCCTTGCAGGGTTACCGACGGCGGTGCGAGTACCGTCCCCAACCCCCACAGCTGGAATGAATATGCGAATGTAAGCATGCGGCCCTCCTTACCTTTTGAACGTAATATTTTACAGTATCTGCTTATGATTAGATCATTTTCTTGGACCAACCCATTGGTGTGGGCTACAGCTACTCCTCCGACGGATCTACTATCAGTGACACCCCCGTTGCTGCACAAGACGTTTGGGCTTTCCTTGAGCTGTTTATGAAGCAGTTCCCTCAGGTTAGGAATTTCCATTTAATATAGTCATTATTATAGACGTCTCTAATTGTTTGTTTATTCTAGTATTCCAAACTTCCATTCCATCTCGCCGCAGAGTCCTATGGTGAATTATATGCAGCCCATTTTTTATTTATTATTTCATGCTCATAAAATGTTAGGCGGAATCTACGGTCCCAACATCGCATTTGTCATTAACAAGAAGAATGAGGAACTCTCACTAGCTCCTGTTCCGGACTTGGTGCATATTAACCTTGTGTCAGTGGTCCTAGCAAACGGCCTAACTGATCCCTACACTCAATTCGGCGCCATTCCGGAGTACGCGTGCAACGGTATGGGTCCTTTTTCGCTTTCATCGTCATTTCACATCATAATAATGATAATGAACCCGTTTATGAAGGACCCTACGCGCTCTACGATGATCCCCAAGGACCCGAGTGTACTTCGTTATTTAGTAAAGCCTCGACTTGCCAAACTCTCGTTAAGGCTTGTTACAACTTCAATTCGAAGTGGGTTTGGTAAGCGGATACGATGGTTTGTCTGTACAGCCTGCATCTGTCTCTAATTATCTTTCCAGCGTGCCAGCTCAACTATACTGCAACAGCCAAATGTTCACACCCATCCAAACCCTAGGTCTCAACCCGTATGACGTCAGGCGTACGTGCGACCCGCAGAAAGATGGCCAGTTGTGCTACAAGGAGATGTCCTGGATTGACGTATATCTTAACAAGCCGGAGGTTAAAAAGGCCCTTGGTGCACCTGAGGACTTGACGTTCCAGAGTATGTATCCTGTAATGTTAACACTTGGTTTATTGTGTCTGACCTTCTCTCTCTGTTGGTTTGCAGGCTGTAATATGGAAGTAAACCTCGCGTTTACTCTGCAGGGCGATTCCGTGCACAATGCGGCTGAATTGCTCGTTCCGCTTTTGAACAAGGGGGTTAGACTGTTGGTGTATGCCGGCAAAGCTGGTATGTCATATGTTACCGTCTTTTGAAAAATGAAAGGAACAAGATGCTCAAAAGTTTCCTCAATCTAGATTTCATGTGCAATTTCATCGTAATTTTTATTTATTTAGAATCTGTGTATAATTTCTGAAATATGCTGTTTAGGGAAACGAGGCATGGGTACACAACCTCGATGGTCACCCCTTCGCAGAAGCCTTCAAGAAAACGCAGACCAGCAAATGGGTTACACTCAGCAGCGGGACGGAGGCAGGTGATGTCCGCTCCGTCGGCACCAACTATACCTTTGTAGCAGTGAACGAGGCTGGGTATGTGGTTGTCTGGTGTTTTTGCTTGCCCAGGATTTGACTTGTGTCCCCACCTCTGCTTATTTTAGACATATGGTGCCCTTTGATCAACCTGAGGCTGCGGCTGATCTTATTGCGAGGTGGATCAATAGTATCCCGTTGACGTGGGCTAACAGTACTGTGGTGTAATGGATGAAATTAAAGGAAGGAATTTTCTCGGAGAGCTTGTGCGTTGGAGCGGACGTTTGCGAACGTTTGCATTAGATAGCTGTGTGTACTACTATGTTACTTCAATAAAAGAGTTTTTCCACTTACTTGTCTAGCTTTCTAATACTGCAGGATGCCACACAGACTGGTGGTAACAAGTTGTTCTCGAACTACTGAGTTCATCTCACATTAATAGCAAATATATTTGATTCTATTGTGACGGTAGATGATGAACCTCATCAAGAGAACCATAAGCATTATTCCAGAGGTAGGGAAAAACTTATGCGTTCTACCATAAGCCAGCAACCATTTGAGAGTCGATGGATTTTGGTGGTATTACCCGCAGTAAGTAGCCCAAGCTAGAATTCCATTCACTGCATAAATGGTATCGGCCTTGAAAACACCTGAATCGTCACCTTGAGCGTAGAGAGGTCGCATCACGATTTGTATGAGCCGTAAGCCAGTTTCACAGGCTCGAATCAAGTGGCACGCCACCAGAACGAATTGGGGCTCACTTGCAGTGGGGTGTTTTCGTAGTCAATGATATATCGTTATGTACATATCCGCCGTGACTTCATTGGCACTCCACTGGCAGGTCACCTTTGGCCATGTGGTCGATGCCATATTCCAGTTCTTCATCTGCTTCCGAATAGGGACCGCTCTGTTGCTCCATCATGTAAAACAGCAACCCTTGGGAGTGAGCACAAAGGTCCCGGTTTGACGACCACAGAAAAATTTGGAAGGTGTTGGGAGATTTTCATGAACACCGTGAAAACGGAATATTGTATCTTTCGTTGAGCCTTGGGAGTTCGATACCAGGTCTGTCGCCGACCTCGGATGGCCGTGAAATAGGGTGCGCGCTATTCACGGATATCGCATCATCTAATGTTTGTGTGATGATGGAGGTATTGTGTATGTAGTTTGTATCTCTGATGCCGTCCGAATGCCTCTTTGAGCCAGTCCGTATATTAGGAAACACGTTCTCAGTGTAATACTAGAAACCCGCCATCCAGATCGGAGAACGCCACGTCCCTCTTGCCAGTGTGTGAGACGAAATGTATCTCTTTAACTGGTTCGTCCCGATAGATAGTCTAGCCAAGTTTTCAGCGAAGAAAACTCCATCGCTTGATCTGAAGGGGCAGACGTCCGTTCATGTAAATTTAATTGCATCCAGGGGGCAGCTGCATGGACAAAAATAACGACATCCTACAGCCCCCAAAACATGGGTCAGTCTTGATGAGGGCCGCCGCTATTTGAAAGTAAATGGTAATTAATTTACGTGATCAAGCCACCTGTGGATGTCGCTCTCTTTGGCCAATTGCAAATTTGGAGCCTGAAAAAGGATCTCTAAGAAGAATGTAAGCACTACAATTTACATTGATGCATAGATTGAGCGCAACGACCTTTGACCGTGAGTTGGAAACGGATATCGGTAGCAATATCAAGGAAAATCACCCAGGCGTGCCATCCCATCAGCTCCCAGCAGATGCCGTGTTTCTCATTGTTTGAGCACTAATGGCCATGAGACATATAATATTTTCTTCATCCACTACATCAGACGTCTTCTGTATATTTTAGTGTATGTGTCCATGGCTATTGTGGGTTTGTGGTGAAACAGCGTAAGTCTTATACTCTCGGCAGTCCCATTTTGGCATGGCCGAATAGCTCAGTTGGTTAGAGCGTCGAGCTAATATCTGATTATGTCAGTTGTGACTCGAAGGTCTTGGGTTCGACCCCCACTTTGGCCATTTGTTTTTGTGACCCTCCCTGGTCACATTTTGTAGGCTCATGGTTTTTTTGTGATAATCCTCAACAGGTGCATCATAGGATGTGACCCTGTGATCCTCTGGGACCTGGTGATGAGTACTATCTATTATTCCCATATATGTATGTATATGATGTCAGGTAGAGTCCTTTTTTATTGCACCTTTGTCCCAATTTCCCAACTTTAAAAGAATACCTCGACCTCAAACAACAGTTCCTCCTTCCCCACCACCTCGAACAGAAACTGTCAAGCGCGTGGAGGAGACCTCATCGTCCACGTACCCTACACGGACAGACTCCATTTCAAAAGCTACACCCTGGTCCTCTAATACTTGGGGGGCTCCCTCAGGAACATGGAGTGAAACCCCACCACCTTCTTGTAGTATTTTCCCTTCTACTGAAGAGGAGATCAAAAAGAAATGGCAGTCCGAGGCTTTCTCTGCACAGGTCCAGGAGGAATTGAAAATGCTTAAACGGAAGAGGAGAGAGAGTACTTAGAAGGACAGCGGAGGATGGGGGCTAGGGATAATGTCCCTTCAAAGCAGACATGGCAGGAATGGAGGAGAATGGAAGGACACAACAATCCTTCAACCATCGCTCCCCCTCCAGGTCATAAATGGACAGATTTCGTGGAAACAGATTGCAGCGATGGGGGCACACCATGCGTTCGGAGTGTGGGACAGAAAAGTAGGAAAGGAAAAGATGGGGTCACCTTCTACGATTGGGACAAAATACAAAGGATCAAACTACAAAGCATTGCATTGCAACGTGGGGACAGAGTTGCACTACCTCCCAGACCCCCTTCACAACGTGGACCTCAGGAATGGACCTACCGGATGGGGCCCAGTGATCTTTCATCTGATTTGGAGGATGACCAATTGCGCTAACCGGCCTACGACAGCAAGTACCTCAGTGCTGACTGCCATGAAGGTTTCCTACTCCCTGACAACATTCACTTCTTCACGAGTGATCCTAACCAATGATGAAAGCTGCCGACTTCCATCAGAGTTTGGAGGGGGTATCGTCCAGCCGACTCTGCGATGCCATCCAGCTCCACTCACCTCCCCCCCACCTCTGCCCATCTTTCTGTACCCCCACTACAGCACTTTACACCCTTTTCAGAGTTGCCAGGAGGTCTTGTACCATCCACCAACCTGCCTTCTCTCCCCCCTATACCATTGACCCTCCCCCAGCTGACCCCATTCACAGCCGCCCTCTCCCTTCCATTCTCAGGATATGGCTGGCCCCTCTCGTCCCTTCCAGTCAAGTTGGATGTGTGTGTCCATTAATTACCCCTCCGACATCTTCACTGTGGGATGCACATTAATGCGACTGGGACCAACCCTGCGGCACCCCCTTCTTAAAGGGCATATTCAGGGGTATAGCGGGTCTCTCACGTTGTCGGACCGCATGAGTGCATTTTACTTATGCGTCAACGACCCTAAGGAACAGCTGCGTTTGGCGGAGGATATCAAACGGGTGGAACTCTCCATGTTTCGGTCCTTGCTTGTCAACTCCTCTTGTGTTCTTCCTGAACACACACCAATCCACTCAGCCGTGGACCTTGTCGACTTGTTGGAGCAACTGTTGTCGGATTCTGACACCTCGAGAGGAGTCCCCCCTGGGGGAGACATGAGCTCCACACCACTTCCCACTCCTACCCTGCCATCATTACACCCTCGGCCCCCTCTCATTGCCTGCATTACTGATGCTTCCGCTGATCGTGTTCGCACCATAATTTGAATGCACCAGAAGGCCTACGGTCATTGGGTCTCACCGATCCAAAAGCTGGACGGGTTGACATCCGCCAATGATGCTTCAAAGTGGGAGGACATTGCTCTTTCCTTTCATGCCAAGCATCTCACCTGGGGCAATGCTATCCTACACCTTGGGGGTTCATCACAGGATGCATGGGGAGGAGTTCCAAGCGTCCTTCGACATCTTCTTTGATATAGCTCTTCGACCTGGGGGGCACTGTGAGAGGTATGGCGAAATACACTCAGGAAATATAGTCAGATGAGCTCTTACTAGATTCCCTTTATTATTTCTGTTTTCTCTCTATTCTATTATTCTATAATTAGCTCAACGACCTATGTATGCGGTACATCGACTCTTGTGGGCGCATACACGCCAGACTTATATATTCTAGCACCCGTAGTTAGAACTCAGACACTTTTACACTGCAACCACGACTTACCCAGACACCTGTTAGTGTCCTGTAAGTTGTGATTGGTGTATCATCTCGACCATCACAGACGGGCTTTAGCTATCTACTCAATCAGAGTTTCAAACTGTACCAGTCGAAACTCAATCCTTATCTCAACCTGTGCAGACTACATCCACGCTACTCTATTATTCAACTCTCTAGTTACTCTACTTTATACTCGAGCAGTCGTCCAGCATTGCACTTAACAGTCAATTCTACTTATTCATTCTAGCTCTCTACTTTACTCTACATAGCTACTTCTCTCTACCATATTGAACTAAGTAGTCAATACGCGTCCAGTCTGTATTAGACTTAGTGTTACGACTGGACAAATCCCGCCGGACTCTGGGCACTAACTCGTACGCCCCCACACGCTACAAGCACCAATCGTCTGTTTATAGGATTTCCCGCCCGGACTCTGTTACGTCAAGACTCGTTACGTTCGACCTCATTAAGACACATATCAGTCACCGGACTTCCCCCGGACCCCGTCTCTGTCTATGTCCGTCTTCATCCCACGCATCAGTCACCGGACCCACTTAGAATCCCGTCACCGCTCTAATCGAGCCCCATTCCCGTTTTAGTCAAATGACCTGTCACGATTTAGGACTCCGCTCCCGCTCCGTTTCCCGTTATGGGTTATGCTTTGTCACGATTCGGACTCTGCTCCGTTCCGTCCCGTTCCTAACACCAATTTGGTGTTTACTATTCCCGTTTTATGTTTTGCTCGTTTCGTCTCATTATTACTGGATTCGGTATGTCATGCATTCCACGGTCTATATAAACTGGCAGATGTTGTACATACAATCCAGTCAGAAAATTAGCTTAGATTCCCCCCAGTAATCTAATACATTTTCCTCTCTAAAACCCTACTCTTATCAGACTGCTCGCACTAGTCGGAGCCCACGGGCTCCGGCGCATCTATCTCTCTCAACTATCTCGATTCACGACTCTCGACTCACGACCCACGAACCCCCACCTGGACTCCCCGGGATTCCCGTCTGCCTATCTGAAATTGGACAACACGATCTAGCGAGGGCGCAGCCTATAAGCTGAAGCCAAGTCCTACCGGATATTCCGCGGGTTTCTCCGGAAACCCGCCCTGTGTGTGTGTATTCTAACACTTAGACAGTCAATACATCTTAGTGTCGTACCTAAATGGTCGATATTCTTCGTATATAGAATGGTTAGAACTTCCACCACTCTTCACATATAGGATAAATATTAATATTTTGCATTCTTCAGAGTGATACCTAATCAACTGAATTTGATTAAATATTAATTTTACAACAAACAATATAAATATATATACTTTAGTGGATGAATAATTTTTAAAGTTTTGGGTTATTCTCCTATATATAGACATATGTGAAACATAGAATAGAATGGATCATCATAATAAAAAGGGATGTATCAGAGTTTAACCAGATGGTACAAGTACATTTTGACAGGGGCATAAATGGAGTTTGATCACTGCGAAAGCATACATCAGCATCAGGGGTCCGATGGTTTCTGATGTGGTGACTTGAATGCTAACTTAAAATGTTGATACGTGGCAATATCCTTGGGGACCATCAGGTTGTGACACAGTCGTAACACTCCCTACCAATATGTAACCTCTAATTGCACCTTGAGTTCGATCCTCACTCTTAAGTACTTCATCTCTTTGATTGCACCTAGAGGTCAATCTTTGCTTATAAGTACTTCATCTCATCAATCACACCTTGAAGGTCAATCCTACTTCTATCATTTAAGTAGTTGGTTATTATATCATTTATTTACCACTATCCTAATAAGTTGATCTTACTATATGGAGTAAAAGCAGTTCCATTCCCCGAGTTGGTGGACGTTCCCGCCGTGTCATCCTGCGCAGTGGAGGGTATTGATGAAGGCGTTCCAGAATTACCCGTGGAGTGCTCGACTTGTTCAGTATGAGATGGTGTGGTAGAAGTATTAATAGGTTGGGGTCGCAGTATTCTTTTGAAGTTGGGGAACTTGGGTTTGAGTTGTTGCTCCTGTGACATAGTGTACTGATTTGAGAGGTTGACGTGGAGGGAAGAGATAGGGGGAAGAAATTTTTCTTTAGTGGATTTACGTATTTTATATTAATTTCAAGCCCCACTCGGTTATTGAGGTGAAAGGCTGAGGGGGATGAGAGTGGGGGGTAGAGTTAGAAGTAAATAAACAGTGTTGTCGTCATAAGAATGTGAAATGATCATTAGATTCGATAAATAGTCTTGTAAGCTTTAAGAAGAGTGGGAGCATTACGAAGGTCATTGCCATTTAACCAGGTGTCCTCCTCCGGTCCATATCCCTTCCATCGAACTTGGAAAAGGAGTCAATTTCGATGCTTTTTGTGCCCTACTATACAGTGAGGGACAAAACCCTTCCAATGATTTTTAGTTGTGCAAAGATTCTTGAATAACTCAAGAACCACTGTAGCTACAGACCTAAGATTTGGGGAGTGGTTAGGTCTATATGTTGTCTATTTACCCTTAAAGTATTATTACATAAGCATCAGTATTTCCCACACTATAAATAAAATACTAATTAAACTGCATTGGAAGGGTTTTGTCCCTGTCACATGATTAACATATAACCATATTGTTTATATGCAAAGAAGTGCAAATAAAAATCATCTGACCTGTCAAAATTATATATATATACATCTGTTTACTTTCCAATCCAAAAACATCCCCATAGCTCAACATTCTACACCATGAAGGCTCTTACTCCTCCTCAGCTTAGCCATATTCTCACTTTTCTCAATAAGGGCAA